AGAAAATGATAAAAATAATAACAATTATTATAATGATACTGATGATGATGATGATGATGATGACGATGACGACGACAACAACTACTACGACGACAAATGACCCGTATAACAATTATGCCCTGGTCACAGAGCCGGGTCACGGTGACGTCAGAGAGCTGACCGCAGAGCTGAAAAACCCGCCTGAGCCTTGGCCACAAGAGCAGACGTTGGCGAATTACAAGCTGAAAGGTCTCTGTGCTCGACAGAACAATATTCCAGGGGTATGTCCCCCCCCCCCCAGCCCCTTTTCTATATCCGTTACCCATTTATATGAGTGTGACGCCGTCTGATTTAGTTTAGCTTTTGTCAGAGTTTTACGGCACTTGCAACACAATAAGGTCATTTAAGTGCTAAAGAATAGACTGTCTTAGTGGTTTTATGCACCCCGCATAATTTAGCAAAATGTTTCATTTTTTGCTTAATTTCTTTTTATTTTCCTTTATCATATTCTTTGTTAAAATTAACAGAATCGCATAATTTCACATTTTTGGGCTCAGATTGCACAATTTCAGAATTTTCCTTGCATAAAACAACGGGGACGGACTAGAAGTGTTACAAGAGAGTAACAAACATAAAAAAGAAGGAGGAGAGATAAAGACGATAGTTGTTTGATAGGAAAGAAGGAGTAAACCACACCAAAGCACCCGTCGACCACCCACTCTATCTGATTAGTAGAATAAAGTGTGTATGATAGTGTCCAATAGTGTATTACGTACATACTTAGTATGGCAAGTAACTGTTACAGAGAGTGATTCAAGGATTATATATTTTCCCATGTTGTTGTCGTTGTTGTTGTTGTTATTGTGGCTTTTGTTGCATGTTGTAGTAGTAGTAGTAGTAGTAGTAGTAGTAGTAGTAGTAGTAGTAGTAGTAGTAGAAGTAGTAATAGTAGTAGTAGTAGTAGTAGTAGTAGTAGTAGTAGTAGTAGTAGTTCTAGTAGTAGTAGTAGTTGTTGTTGTTGTTGTTATAAGTGGTGGCGTGTTGTTGATGTGTAAACGCTGGCCAAAATTAAACCAGGTGTATGTACACATGTTGTTGTAGTTGTTTTCGTTGTTGCTGTTTTTGTTGTAAGGGGTAGCGTGTTGTTGTTGTGGATTTTGTTTTTGTTGCTGCTGTTGTTGTTCTTGTTGTCGTTTAATTGTTGTTGTTATTGCCGTTATGCTTGTTGCTGGTTTTTTTGTAGTTGTTGTTGATGTTGTTCATTTTTTTTGGTCTATGTTTTTGTTGTTGTTTTTATTAATGTTGCCATTTTATGATGTAGGTGATAGTGTTGACGTGTTGTTATTGCTGTTGTTGTTGATGTTGTTGTTTTTGCTGCTGCTGCTGCTGTCATAATTAGTTTCGCTTGTGTTCTGCTGGCACGTGTCATTTTAGGTCAGCTGATTTGAATTGTGTCGATGGGGGCGTACAATTCTACAACTACAATGCCATTTTTCCTTTTTTCAGTCTGGTGTGGATCCGAATCTATACTGCAGGTATCGAGTTATCTTCCTGCCTTATAATCGTTACCACGAGGAAATCATCCGATGGTCTCCATTCATAAGTGTGTTTTATGACGTCATCACCGATCAAATTAGCGAGCAAGTGAGGGCGCTGGCAAAACAGACGGTATGTTGCTGTCGTCATTGCTGTTCCTTTTTTGTCGTGATGTTGTTAATGTTGATGTTGCTCTAGTTGCTGTTGTTGTTGTTTTTATTGTTGTTGTTGTTGTTATTGTTGTTGTTGTTGTTATTGTTGTTGTTGTTGTTGTTTGATCGTTTGTTCGATGTTGCTGTTTGATCGTTTGTTGCGGTGTTGTTAATGTGTTGTTGTTCTTGTTGTTGTCACTGCTGTTGCTGTTTTATTGTGGCATTGTTGTTGATGTTTCTTCGTACTGTTGTTGTTGTTGTTGTTATTGTTGTTGTTGTTATTGTTGTTGTTGTTATTGTTGTTGTTGTTATTATTATTATGTTGTTGTTGCTGTTGCTTTTGTTGTTGCGATAAAAAGAGTGATTTCAGGGGAGCATGCTCACATTGATTTTTCATTTAATCGTTATGCAGTTAAGCTTAATCTGATCCAGCTCGAATAAAAATCGATCAGATAAAAACATAAAGAACGAATAATTAGCCACGAATAATATGAAGTCAATATTCTTACCAAACGGATTAAGATGAACAACAAAAGGGATATACAATACCGGAATATGAGAGACGACGTAAATTAATAACACCGGTGTTGTTGTTATTGTTGATAATATTGCAGTTGTTGTTTATGACATGACAGCTGTTGCTGTTTTGTTGTTATATTTTGGTGTTGTAGCTGTTGCTGCTGTTGCTGCTGTTGCTGCTGTTGCTATTGTTGTTGTTGTTGTTGTTGTTGTTGTTGTTGTTGCTGTTGTCGTCGTCATCGTCGTCGTCGTCGTCGTCGTCGTTGTTGTTGTTGTTGTTGTTGTTGTTGCTGTTGTTGTAGTTTTGTTGATGATGTTGTCATTTATCACTGTTGTTACTGTTAAATGCGTTGTTGTTGTTGTTGTTGTTGTTGCTGTTGTTGTTGTTGTTGTTGTTGTTGTTTTGCTGATGCTGTTGTCGTTTATCACTGTTGTTACTGTGTAAATATGTTGCTGTTGTTGTTTTTGCTGCTTCTGATCCTGTTGGCTTATTGTGTGATACTGTTTTAGCTGATACTGCTATTGCTATTGTTGTTGCTGTTATTGTTGTTGTTGCTGTTGTTGTTGTTGCTGCTGCTTCTTCTGCTGTATTGTTTGATGCTATTTTTGCAGATACTTTCGTTTGTTTGTTTGTTGTTGTTGTTGTTGTTATTGTTGTTGTTGTTATTGTTGTTGTTGTTGTTGTTGTTGTTTCTGATGCTGCTGATGTGGGTAATACTATTTTTGGTGATGCTGATATTGGTGTTCTTGTTGCTGTCGTTCTCAGCTCTACACTGCTGGGATCACACTGAAGGGAGGAACTGCCACCAACTACCTGTCCCGAACTGGCCATGTGTAAACATTTCATGTTGTTGCTGCTGCTGTTGTTGCTGCTGCTG